CGTACATCCGAGCAGCCAACATTGGCGATTTCCCTATGGGGGACAGGGTGACACTTGTCAGGGTGACACTCGGCAGGGTGACACTCGGGACAAGGTGACACTTGTCAGGGTGACACAGGGAGCTGTGCAGGGACAGGCTGAGTTTCTTCCCAGTTCCTCCCGTGCGGGGATCAGCAGTGGTTCTGCGGACACCCACTAAGCCACAAGTGCCGTTTCACACATTTTCCTTTTACTGCCTTAAGATCAGCAGAACTTTTTAAGAGAAAAGCCAGGGAAAAGAAAAGCAAGCTGTTATTGCTCAGGTGAACACTGCTCTGTGTGCTGGAGACTCAGGGAGAGTGGGAATAAAACCTGCACCATAATAGAAAATGTTGTGTCACTTCAGCCCCTCGGGAGCTGCTGGTTCCACGCCTGTGAAAATACCAGCTGGAGCTGGCCCTTTGTGCGGGTCAGCTCGGAATTAGAGTGCTGGGATTAGTTATAAAACCTAGTTACATGTCTCAGCTGGTGTTCTGAATGGATTTAAGTCTTTAAAAACTGGGAGAGCAAGGGGATAACGCACAAAGCCATGGCTCTGCATCCCGTGGGGCTGGTGGGGAATTCCTGCAGCACCTGTTTCATTGTCGGTGTAAAGAAAGTGACATTCCAACACTGAGCCTCAGCTTGGAGCTGTGGAGGGAAAGTTTCCCATAAAAGCTGTGCAAGCCCTCACCTTTTAGCAGAACAGACCGTGGGTTTTGTTTACCAGAAACTTCAAAGCAATGCCTGGGACACTGAAATCAGATCCAAGGTCAGGGGAGCTTTATTGCTTTTGTTACTGTAGGTTCCTGTCCATGGTCACTCTACATTGACCTCACCTAAATTTTCCTGGAGTAAACTGCCTGTTTTTCTCCTACAGGTTGCAAATATTTTCATAGTAAAAATTTTTGAGTGTTGTGGAAGAGCTGACAGTGTCTTTCACCTCTGCTTTTTCATTTTTTGGTTTTTATTAGGCAGCAGAGTGTAGTGCCACTGAATTCAGCCATTATTTAGGATCTAACATTGCCAGGTTTTTATTTACTTTCAGGACTTTATTGTTAACCCAGTAGTGGATCACAGTTACCCTCAGACCTGGAGCACTGTGCTGGAAAACTGAAGTTATTCAGTGTAACCCCAGAAATCCACTTCTGCAGGTCAGATGCAAAGACAGGGCAAGGGGTTGAACTCTTTTTCAAGGGGAGAGTTGAAAGTTTGAAAGTTTTATTGCCATGGAGGCCTGAAGGGGGTGATGAGGCTGCTCTGCTCAGACTTGCACATTGCTAACATCTCCACTTTTGTGTGCTTGAGAAACAGCACTCTGAGCATTCTTTACCCCAAAGCCAAGACCAGTCTTGCAAAATAATTACTCAGCACAGAGGGTCATTTTCTAACCAGCCAGGAGTTTGCAGATTTGTCCCTAAAAGCAGGGTGAGAATATTATTTAGGTGCTGAAACACTCTGTGCATATGGGGGGCATTGCTCAGTGGTGGCAAACCTGGTACAGATTTGGGGGGTTTCATAAAGTTCCCAAACAATTTGAATAACAGCAGTACATGTACTGGCCTGGCTAATTGAGAATTTCCACTGCTCATCCTCATCCCACATCAGCCAGGCACAAACTGAATTTATGGAGCTTTTCCCTCCTGTGATGCTCTGGGGGTTAACCAGGCCAAGAAGTTCCTCAGCAAAGAATTCTTTCTGCAAGGATTCTTTCTGCATTCCCATTAATTTTCTCTGGCTTTACCTGAGGAAACCTGGACAGCCAAGAGCTGACATAAACACAAATTCTATTGTTTGCTCCAAGGTGAAGCATTAATCATAACTTGTCATCTCTTCATGAACAGGTGGTTCATTAACCAAGCTGGCTTATTACTCAACTGTACAGCACAAAGTGGCAAGAGTGAGATCCTTTGATCATTCTGGAAAGGTGAGAATTCCATCAGGGATTGACTCACAGGAGTGAGGTTCTGGACTGGCTAGAACAGAAATTATATCCAAACCCATCTAATAACTTGCTTATATAAAACTTTCTGAGAAGTGTTTGTATTGCCAGGTACTATTTATATTTATTTTTATTATTTATATTTAATTTATTAAAATATTTATTTTAATAAATATTTAATAAGACAGTAAGTGTGGTACTTTTGTTAAAAATCCCTACTCCTGTGCAGAAATAAGTTTCCTCATGCAGAAGGATTTCCTGCACGTCAGCTGCATGGGAGAATTGATTATCTCAGCTTAAGGAGAATTAAGAGCTGTGAAACTTTATTCTTCTTTGCCACAGCTTGAGGTGTTGTGTTTAATGGCATTAACACAGTTTCAAGGGCAAGAAAAGCACAAGTATTGATGTTCAGTAGTTCAGCATTTAACCTTGATGTTCTCTAAGAAATCCTTTTCTCTTTTTAAGGACATAGACAATGAACCTTTGTATGAAATATCTGTCCAGGAGGAGATTACAGCTCGGCTTCACTTCATTAAATTTGAAAACACTTACATTGAAACCTGCCTAGATTTCATCAAAGACCATCTTGTCAATACAGAGACAAAAGTCATCAAAGCCACAGGTGGTGGTGCCTATAAATTCAAAGACCTTATTGAGAAGAAACTGGGGTTGAAGTAAGTGGAACTGCTTTTTCTTCTGTGAGGAATTAACTTACACCTACTCCAAAAATTCTGTCATTTTCCTGGGCATGCTCAGAGGGAATTCATGTGACAGTCATTTATTGTACAGCTCCTACCTAAACTTCATGCAAAGGTTTGTAGCAGAGCAATGAATAAATTTACAGTCTCATAAATTTACTTTTCAAGCACCATTATCAAACACCAAATCCTAAAAAGTTGACACTGAAATCTGCCTAGATGTCATCAAAGGCCATCTTATCAATACAGAGACAAAAGCCATCAAAGCCACAGATGGTGGTGCCTATAAATTCACACTTTCTATGCTGTAAATGTGGAAAAACATTCATTTACCCCAATATTAAACATCACTGGGGAGAGCTTCAAGGCAGCTCTGCTGTGATCTGTGTAGGAGATTCCTCAACCCCTGAGGGCCTGTGCTCATCTTTTAGATTATCTTTGCAAATTACTTCTTTCTCCTGATAAGCTGGGCTCTGTTATCTCTTTATTTCACACCAGCCCCCTTTAGTACCTTATTGGCTGTACTAAAGATCAATTGATCAAGATAAGGAGGCACTTTCCCCTCTTATCTCATGTGGTGCCTCTGCTTTAGGTTTTTATTTGGTTCTGACACACTCAGCTTTTCTCCAGCTCCAAACCAGAGCAGCATCTCCACCATGGAGCACACAAATCATTCTGGAACAGCTGAGATGAGTTTGTGCCTTGTTTGTGTTTCCAACAGGCCTCAGGATATTTCCTGTAGGAATTTCCCTACAGACACAGAATTTCACAGAAATCAGTGTGTGTTATCTGATTTATCAATCACCTCTAAGTTTTGTATCACATTCCCAGACTCCACACTGGGGATATCCTGTTGTGAATCCTGCTACTCTTGTGAGAAATCTTTTTCTGTGTTTGCTAATCCCACTTGTAGGCTCCTCCCAGCCCCTTGAATCTGTCCTAAACAAGTGCTGAAATGTTGAGGGGGCCTTTTGTGCTTTATTAGAGTCAGGGGAAGAGAAACAGGCAATTATTCCATGTTGGGAAATTGTTTTTTGAGGTTAATTTCCAGCTGAGCCTCCTGACCTACTTTATGGTCATGAAAGCACAGCCCATGAAAGGAGCAGGGCAGGAAAGGAGCAGTGTAAACAAGCAAACAGGATTATTTTTAATGACAACATGATTAAAGTTACTGTGTAACAGAACCCCAGCCTGGACTCCTGGCATGGGAGGGGAGCACCAGGCCATGTGCAGATGGAGGTTTCCTGTTTCCATGGAGCTGGGCTTGTGCCAGCTGCTGTGAAAATTCCCTTCTGCAAAGTCTGTGCAAAAATCCTGCTCCAAAACCAAACTGCCTTATCAGGAGGGCTGGCACAGTTATTGAAGGCTTTTTCCTCCCCCTCAGAGTTGATAAGGAAGATGTAATGACCTGCCTAATTAAGGGGTGCAACTTTGTGCTGAGGAACATCCCCCACGAGGTGTTTGCTTACCAGAAGGACTCAGACACAGAATTCCGCTTCCAGACCAACCACCCCAACATTTTCCCTTATTTGCTGGTCAACATTGGCTCAGGGGTCTCCATAGTCAAGGTGAGTGCTGGCCACCTTTGATAAAGGTGATCTGAAACCTCTTCCCTGATTCAGATTTGTTCCTGGGTAGTGCAAGGTTTAAAAATAAAATTTTGCCCTTTTTAAAGTTTATTAGGTTATTTGTATTAATTGCAGAGTTTTGAATGCTTTTCTATTCACTAATTTTTAGAATTACATTTAATTTGACTTTTAGAGAAGTGATTGCTCAATGAGGACAAAGGCTGTCAGATCAAAGTGATTTTTGTTTGTTGAAGAGACCAAGTTTAATGTCTATATTTAGCATTATTTGCCAAGAATTAAATACAAACATTTCCAAAACTGCTTGTGGTGTATGTGCAGTGTGCCCTTCTCACCTGCCCCTTCCACAGTGGAAGGATTCCATCTCCACTGATTCCACTCCTCCAAAACCCTGCACACTCTGACATTTAAATCTCTGTTCAACATTATAAAAGGACTTTCTGAATAAATCTGCCCTTTTTGACTCACAGGTAGAATCAGAAGACAAATTTGAATGGATTGGGGGCAGCTCAATTGGAGGTGGAACCTTCTGGGGTCTGGGAGCTCTGCTCACCAAAACAAAGGTACCCAAGTGTCTCTTTTAATGGGGGTGGGATTAAATTAAATCCTGGGAGGAAACCTGAAATGCTTAATTGTTAGGTAAGAAGGCTGAGTCCTGGACTTGTGTTTATATTTTTGACACTTCTGATGCATAAAAGGAAGTTTTACATGATAAAAAGATACTGGTGGAATATAGGGACAAGAATTAGAAGATATTTATTGTGACTAAAAGCAGTCAAGGACAAGTGATGGACAAGAGCCTCCTCAAAGTAATTTTTTATTCTTTTTTCAATTTAAAACACCAGCCCAGTTCCTGCAGCACTGTCTGCAGAAGAAAACAGGGAGCACAGAATAGCTGCAAAATGTCTGGGAGCTGAGAGGAGAAATTTTGCCTCATGGGTGGTTCTTTGGTTGCCAATTCAAATTAAAAGCAAGTCCTGACTTCGTCCTGCTCATGCTGGGCTTCCCAAAGAGCCACCTGGCTTAAATGAGTGTCCTAAATGTCAGCAGTGTGGGAAAAGCTTGAGTTACAAATGCACCAGATAGGAAAATGTCAAAGGGAGGGCACAGCCTGGGCTGGGCTTTTGGGTTGATGCTCCTAAAGAAGAAATCTTAGACCATGACAGTGCCTGCTCTCAGTTCTCTCTTGGTTTTGTAGAAGAAATTCAAGTTAACAGGGTTATAAATTAAGTATTGGGATAATGGAGCTTGCCTGCAAGTTTAATTTCAGGGATAGTAAAGGCACACTGAGACTTTTTTCTCAAACTTCTCTTTTAGTGTGCTTCGGAAAGATAAAATTCTGTTTCCTGTTAGTTCCTGTGTTTCTGAATTCCAAGATAAGGGATGCCATGAGGCTTCTGACTGTTTTATATGTGCTGACCCACCCTCATTTTCAGGGGAAATTCAACAGAATATCTGCAAATAACAAAGGTTGATTGTGGTTTTCATCTTTAAAGGAGCTCCACTGAAGATCTGTGTGTGGATACATCCTTGTAATTAGGAGCAGCCTGTCTTTGGCTGGCAGGGTTCATTCTAAGGCTGCTTTTGGGCAGTGAAGATGCTGCAGAGCTCTGGCTCAGGTCAGAGATTTGCCTGCAAATCCAGTAACTGTGCTTCTCTGTTGGAGATTTTTTCAGAGATGGCCTAGAAGGCAGCTGTGAGGAGCAGATTCTCACAGCCTGTTTCTGTGGTTCTCAGAGGTTATTTTTAACTACAGGTAAAAGTGACAAGCATGAAGGCCTTGAGAGCCTTGCACACCAGAGTTCTCAGGCAGCTTTCTCATAACAAGTGGATGTTCTATCTTTGGCTGTTTTGGGAAAGCAAGAATAATTTTGAGAACCTAAATCTTGGTATTGGAAACATAAGGAGGAGTTGGTATGTAATCTCTGACCTATTGTGAGCTCAGATTTTGCAATATGCATGAACTTGATTAACACTGTTATAAAAAGTGATTGATGGATTAATAAATCGGAGTCGATGCTGACCAATGCAAGGTGGGTCGTCTCCCCTCCAACTTCAATATATGGTGAACTTCAATACTTCTCACCCTCAGAAATTTGATGAACTGCTGCAGCTGGCCTCAAAGGGCCAGCACACCAACGTGGACATGCTGGTGAAGGATGTGTATGGAGGTGCCTGCCAGACCCTGGGGCTCAGTGGGAATCTCATTGCCAGCAGCTTTGGGAAGTCCACCACAGCAGACAAAGGTACTGGGATCAAAAAGATCTCCCCAAACATCTCCTCTGGCTTTTGGGAATTAACTTTATCCTGATCTAACAAACAGAGCTGAAAATAATCACCAGCTTCTTTCATGATCTTGTGGTTTGCCTGCACAATATTGATTTAAAATATTATTCAGTAGTGCTTTATAAGCAGACATTTAAATTTTCAGTTTGGGATTGCCTAAGCCAAGGGAAAATTTAAAAATAGCTGTCTGGTTAGCCTGGGGTTAATTCATTCCTGTGGGAAATAGATGTGGCTTTCTGGGCTCCAGAAAGGCCTTTTGGCAGTGATTTATTACAATTTGCAGTAAATTAATGAAATACTTGCAGTGCATCTCAGGCCAGGGGGATGGATGAACCCTCACCCATGGTTCCTAGAGAGAAGAAATGGATTCCTGCCATCCAGAAGTTTCTTTTCAAGAAATATTTCACATAGGCTTAGTGAGGTTTTTTTTTTAAATCAAATCACACTCCTCCTTGTTAGAAGTACATTATATAGGTGAGGTTTTTATTTTCTTCTCCACACATAAAGAAAACTGCTCCAACCCTGGATTTTTCTTTCCCCAGCTGCAGGTTCAGTTAGAAAATCAGAGTCTACTGCAGCTTCCTCACTTTGTGTGCCATTTGCTTTACTCTCTTTGCCTTCCAGAATTTTCCAAAGAAGATATGGCCAAAAGTTTGCTGCACATGATCAGCAATGACATTGGCCAGCTGGCCTGCCTGCATGCCAAACTGCACAACCTGGATAAAATTTATTTTGGAGGGTTTTTTATCCGGGGCCACCCTGTCACCATGCGCACAATCACCTACAGCATCAACTTCTTCTCCAAGGTAAGGAAAACACAGGCTTCCCTACAGCAAAATCACATTTTAGGTGTTTTTCTAGGCTGTTGGGATACCTTAATAAATGAATTTGTACATGAAGTAAGCTTAGAATGCTGCTCCTTAGGTAGGTAAGGCAGGGATGTGTTGTGGGAGGGGTGAAATCAGTGTGAAATGTCTGGGAGTTGTGTCTGGCCTTTTGCTCTCTCCCTACCTCCCTCTTTCTCTTTTTATTATTATTTTTTGATTGACAATCTGTCTTGTAGCTCCCAGTAATGAGTTTCCACTGTGTTCTTAGATAGTCACCATCATTATTCAATTCCTCTTGCTGATTTGCATCTTTCCACCCCCAGGCCATGCAGTGTGGGGTTGTTGTGCTGAGGCACTTGGCATCAGTGGGGTTTTGTTACTAAAGAGAAAATCAAACCTCAAACCAAGCAAGCTGAAGTTCTTTGCAGGTTTTGAAGCTGTGGAAAATACTGAAGATTTTGGACTAGGAGAAAGGTCCAATCCACAAGCTTGTTAATGGTTGTTACAGGTAGATTAGTCCTGCATTTTGGGAATTTATAGAGTAGATGACACCATTTTTTCCTCATCTCAGTGCTTTATGCAAGAGACTCCTGTGTGCTGCCTTTTCCCCTCTTTATTTCACCACTGTTGTCCCTTTCTGTTCCAAGAAAGCCATTGCAAAACTGCAGCTTTAGGTTGTGGTAGGAGACACTTTGCCAGGGGTTGAAATCCAAATCCCCCTGTGAGCTGGAGCTGCTGTTCCCACAGTCACTGCTGAATTCCTTGGAAAAGGAATTCCTTGGAAAAGGCCACGTCTCACCCAGCCTGGGAAAGCTGAGGCTTCTCCTCCCCAGCATGCCTGTATTTTGCATTAATAATTGAATTATTTGATGGGGGAATGCTTGCCTGTGGGTAATGCCCAGTGTCTGTGTGGTGTTGAAGAGCAGTGCAATAAAATAAACACAAGGAGCAGTGTCCCAAAGGTGTTGTTGGCTGCAGTGGCACACACTCACCTTGGCAATCCCATTTCCAGCCTGTTTGAAGCAAGAGGAGTTGAATATTCATGGAATGATGTTCCAGGGAAGGCCATGGAGCTCACACCACTGGTGCATGGGTGATAACTGGGGGATGAGGTGTGTGAGCAGTTCCTCCCTGAGCTGCTCCAGAAGCACCATTAAAAGTTGCTGAATGTGTGAGAATGTAGCACAAATGACTATTACCATCTTCTAGTTGTTTCTATTAAATTAAAGTGTGAAACTAGTGACAAAGAAGTGCCTGTTAGCCCTCAGGGACCATCCAATTGCAATGTTTCATATTGTGGCAGGGAGAGGTTCAGGCATTGTTCCTGAGACATGAAGGCTACCTGGGAGCCATTGGGGCATTTTTAAAAGGAGCTGAACAAGACAGTAAGTACAGCACTGCTCTGTTCTGTATATGCTGTGTTCTGAAATGTCAGTGTACTGTCCAAGTTTCTCTTAAGAGGCTGCATGTAAGCTGTTGCCTAAGTAAATCCATTTGGCACTAATAAACACAGATGCTGGGCTTTGGTTTGATACATTCTGGCAGGAACATCTTCATTTCTCACTGGATTTCCTGCTCACCTTTGAGAGGACAGCAGGACTGGGCTCTTCTCTTCTCTGCACTCCTACAAAGAGCAGTCACAGCTCTAAATCCAGCTGGAGAAATGTGGGTTTGGAGAACCTCCCCCTCTTTAAGAGGCCACTTCTGAATTCCTGTAATGTGCTGAGGAAGATCAGCATCTCCAAACTGTTTGTCTGAGAGTGAAAAGCCTCCCAGAGGAGACCCTTCTGTCCAGATCCCTTGGATCCAGGGTGCTTTGGTGGAATTCTGCCTGTTCAGTTTTCCTTTTCCCCTGTTGGCAAGGCAGGCAGTACATTGGTCACAGTGGCACAGCCACTGATGGTCCTTAGCTCAGCAAATACCAAACACACCTCCAAAAAATGGATGTGAAATTCTTTTCCTGCCCATTTGATAGAGATGGGCAAGGAAGCAGCTACTGAGGAATTAAAGACATTGCTTCTGCAGCATGAACTGTACATCTGAGCTCATTAAACTTTCCTCAAATAAAGCAAATCTGGAAATAACTTTAGTGTTTCTCTGAAGCTTACATTGTGCTTTGGGAGTTCTGTAATACTGTTTTGTTAATAATGGATCTAGATTTAGAAATAAATGCTCAGTGATAGTGCTTTGAAGGCATGCTGATTAATGACAAGGAAATGGGGTTAAAAATAATGATTTTAGAATTAAATTGTCTCTTGTCTCATTCAGGTTGAAGCTCCTTGGAGCAGGTAATTCATTGAGTGGTTGAAACATCTCTTTTGGGGGTTAGAGGGAAAAATTCTGTTTGCTTTTAAAGACAAGGGGAACTGGCTTGTGTAGTGCAGCAGCTGCTCAGAGGGATGCTGGCTCTAGACTCACTCACAGCACTATTCTCAGTTTTATTTTCAGATTATGTGTGTCTGTGTCTTTCTCTTTTCTAGATCCAAACCAGTACAGCTGGGGAGAGAATTATGCTGGGAGTTCTGGGCTCATGAGCACATCCCCTGATGTTTCCCCGCTGCAGAGAACACGCAGTGGTACAGTATGTGCTGTCTTTCCTTGCCCTGGGTGTGTTCTCTCAGCACTGCTCACCTGCACATGGCTGATCATTCTCCTGCTTCCCACAGGAGTGCCCAGTGTGCTGTTGGGGTGGTGTTGTCTCCTGTCCTGTGTGGTGCTGGATGGAATGTTTCATGAAACGGACTTGTCACAGACATCTTTTCATAAAAATCCTTTCTTTTAGGATTTGTCCTTTCTGGGAAGCTGAGGCCCCAGAAGAAAAATGTAAACAATGATTATCTGCTGATGTGGAGTGCAATAGGTGCACCTGTGATTGGCTCATGTTCCATGTGTACAATTAAGGGCCAATCACAGGACCAAGCTCTGGAGCAGATTCACAGAGAGCTCTCTTGTTTTTAGATTCTATTCTATTCTGAGCTTAGCAGCTTCTGCAACTTTTCTCTCTATTCCTATTAGTATAGTCATAATGTATTATATATCATAAATTAATAAGTCCAGCCTTCTGATCATGAACCAAGATTCTCGTCTATCTCTCTCACCCTGAGGAACCCTCACAAGTCACTGCAACACAGACTGGCTGCTGCTTTGTCTTGTTCTCTTCACCAAAGCTGGGGGAATGTTTGTGTCTCAGCTGGATTTTGCTGCAGCTGAAATAGCTCAGAATTTGGAATTTCATGTTCCACCATCATTAAGCAGTGTTAATTTGCGTCCTGCGAGAAGAAAAATACAAGATTGGACAGAAGAGCACAAGCCCAGTCATCTCTTAAAGTCACTGGCAGTACAGCAGTTCTGATTCCACAGTGGATTATTTTCACACTGGATAATTTCTGTCTCTAGGGTGGGCATGGATAAAATAATCCACAGAGGGAACTGGATTATTTATAATTATCTGTAAATCTGTCAGTCTTAACCGTGGCTGGACTTCTGCAGCCTCTGTGCTAATTTAATTCGTTGTGAATTAATTTCTGAGTGAGTTCTCATCCATCTCTTTCATTTCTCCCCTAGTTTGACATGCTGGAAATGGACAGATTGGAGAGACCACTTGTTAACCTGCCACTGCTGAAAGACCCCTCCACCTATATCCCAGACACTGTTGACCTCACAGATGATGCCATGGCCAGAAAATACTGGCTCACCTGCTTTGAGGAGGCACTGGATGGGGTAAGAGTCACAGAACAATCCTGTGTGAGTGACACAGATATTTGGGAAACAAATCTTCTGTGGAGCAGCATGTTTGTCCTGGCAAATGTTCCTGCTGTGGCACCCCTCTGGAAGGCCAGCCCCTCTCTCCCTGTGACAGAGGCACCTGGCATTGTCCCAGTCTCTTAAGGAAGGGCTTGAATCCTTCAAAGGCAGAAATGTTCTTTTGTGGTGCCTTTTTTACCTCCTGAAAGGTGTTTTCAAAGCATTTCTCTCTTTCATAGCACTTAGACCTCTCTGTACAGAGCTGAAGCAGGACAGTTACACAACCAAAGGCCACAGATCCTTGGGTTGTTCCTCCTCTGGGAGCAGTCCTGCTGCCTCACAGACACTTTTTCATGGGAAGGGCACAGTTGAACCAGACACAAATTCTAAATTATGTTTCCTCTGAAGCTGATTCAGGCAGTTCACTGGAGTAAACAAAAAGAGAACACAAGGGGTCGATGTGCACCATTAAATTTCTGCTTCTGTTTCTCCTTTAGTGTATGAGCATTGTTACCTTTTATTCCCCTCCTGTAAGTAGTTAGAACTTGTGCTTAATTTCTGACAGTACAGTCTGGAAAACAAACTTTAACTCTTTTGGGATGAAAAGAGCCATTAAAATTGTTATTCAGTGTTTGGAATGCAGGGAGCTGGGAGGTGCTGTGTGGGAGGGAGCAGGCACAGAACAGGCAGGCAGATGGAGGGGTTATTGCTCAGCCTGAACTTCACATCAATTCCAGGAAGAAGAGTTAATTTGGTAACTCCAAAAGTGTTGCCTCTCTCCTCTGCCAGGTGGCAAAGCGAGCTGCAGCCAGCCAGCCAGACTCTGTGGATGCACAGGAGAGAGCTGAGAAATTCCGCCAGAAATACTGGAATAAGCTCCAGACGCTCAGGCAGCAGCCCTTGTAAGTTTTTATTTTCCCTTCTGCATCACTTGCTGCTTCTTTTGAGCACTGAAAACCCACCAAAAGCTGACCAGGTTGTGAAGCAGAGCAAACAAAGCCAAGCAGGCTGAAGGCTCAGATGTGCCCAACATCCTCTGCACAGGGATTTTGGATTTCATGTCTTAGAATTTCTCTGCTCAACTCTATCTTGGCAGAAAAATTGTGATTAAAAATTTGTATGTGGTTTTTAAAAATAGCAGCAAGTTAATTGTGAACATTCTCCCTCCCTGTATTTAAATAATCTTATTGTAGATTTAAGATTATTGAATCTACAATAAATAATCTTAATTGTAGATTCAATAATCTTATGGTAAAACCAGGGTTTAGCACCTGGGACTTTCAGCTTCATGTGAGGGGCTGTGACTCACAGTGGAAACAGAGGGAAAAATAACTTTTTCTGTTTGAAGTAATTGATTTGTTTTCCCCCTTTCTCCCTTTTTAAAGTGCTTATGGTACCTTAACAGTCAGAAGTCTCTTGGATACAAGGGAACACTGTTTGAACGAGTTCAGTTTTCCAGACCCCTATTCCAAGGTGAGTTCAGGACACTTTTCCATTCATTACCCCTATGCAGCTGTTTTCTCTCTGGGTTTTGTTCTGTGACATGAAATGATGGGGGAAAGGACATTTGAGTCATTATTTCTCAAAAAACAACTTTCTGTATGTCCATTCCTCACCACTTGTTTGTGTGACATATAAATAACAACAGTGCTGGTGGCTGATCCAAGATTCTTTTCCTGACTTTGACATATTTGTGCAAAATACAGAGAGAGTTCTCCCTGGCTGCACTGTCAGGTGCTACCTTCACTCTGACAAAGGGATAAAAGGGAGGTGGCTTTTGCTTCTGTTTGCTTCTTGTAATTCAGACAAGTTTACTGCCAGGACAATATTTTGGTACCCAGAATCATTTTAAATTTTCTAAGGGAACTCATCCTGTAACACTGATCTCACTGGAGACAGAGAAGAGAACAAAACCTCAGAGCTGCTGAGAATTTGGGATGATGCAAAAGAGAAAATAAACACCCTTCAGATTTTGTGGCACTGCTGGTGGTGCTTTCCTGGGGTTGATGCAACTTTTTACTGCCACAAGGTTTTTGTGTGTCCACTCTCCCATTTCCCAATCTGCTCAAGATCTATTGCACCTCTGACTTGCTAAGAAAAGCAATTCTTGGGCTGTAGATCATATCTGGCACTCATGACACTCTTTGTGAGAATCCAGGAAAGTTTTTCCTTGCTCCTAAGCACGCTGACAATAATTGGTTGGTCCATGAGAGGCCATGAACACAGAGGAGATGCTTAAAAGTGGCCTTGGGACTGAGACAGCCAAAGCTGGGTAAGAAATGTTGCTCTGTAAATCCAATGTTTCCTGTGTGTCTTACAGGTAAAGCAGAAAGAAAATGGAATAGCCTTGAAGTGTTTCCAGAGTGTGATCGAGTCCCTGGACTCCCTGGGCTGGGAGGAGAGGCAGTTTGCACTGGTGAAAGGACTCCTGGCAGGGAATGTCTTTGACTGGGGAGCAAAGGCAGTCTCAGAGTAGGTGTTACATCCTTTAACAGCACCTTTTAAGCTACATAATGTAAAAAAAATTCCTCAAAAGTTCCTCAATCTCCCCATCACCACTGTTACAGCCTGCAGCTCATTTAAGTCATTACATTTCATGGTGGTTTGCAGACCCCAAAATGTCTTTTTTGCCTGTACCCTACTGCCTGCAAATATCTGTACATTGCTGAGGCTGTTTTCTTTTAGCATCAGAAGTCTGATTTAATGTCCTGATGAGCCTTTTCTTTTTAACATGATCACAAAATACATTTCCCAGTTTTGGGACCCACAGACAGCCCCAGTACAAGCAGGGCAGTAAAATTGCTGTGCCCCAGCTAAAGAAATGTTTGAATTCCACTGATGTGAGATGGAGGTGTTGAGCTGTGCCCTTTGTCTCTCCTGTCCCAGTGTTCTGGAGTCTGAGCCACAGTTTGGGTTTGAAGAAGCCAAGTCAAAGCTCCAAGGTAAGGGGAGATCCCTGCTGGTGCTTGGATGTTGATGAGGGAATGGAGTGGGGTTCAAAAAAATCATTAGGGCTTGTTTAGGGTTATATAAATGCAGAGTTTTAATTAAACCTTCAGACTCTCTCCTTAAACACAGAGATGGGCACTCACTGTTGTGTCCCTGCCAGGGAACAGAGTCCTGGGGGTTCACACCCAGCTCACAGCACTCACACAGAGCTTTAGTGTGAAAATTCCACTTCAGGCTTCCTCTCATGGAGCCATTCCCATAACAGAGCTCAGGAACTCTGCCAGACCACACATTTAACTTTGGAAACCTGAGCTCAAATGTTTCAGTGAGTGTAGCATGAGCCTCCTGCTTGTACCATGTGCAGAATGACTGCTGATAGGAGTGAGTGGCTGCTGATAAGAAATGCTGACACTGCTCTGTCTGTGCCACAGAACGACCCTGGTTGGAAGATTCCTACAGCCAGTGGCTGGAGCGACTGAAGGTACGACCCTGGGTGGCCCTAAAGCCACCAATTAACCCCCTTAATCATCAAACCACCTTGGGAATTGTGGGGTTTGAGCAGAGCTCTGTTCAGACAGCCCAAAACAAATCCCAGTAATTCCCCATAAAGAAAGGAATAAAGGAATTAGTTTAAAATGTGGTTACTTCCCTGAATTCCCACTGGAGCCCAGCTGCTCCAGAGCCTCCCCTCCTTATCAGGGCTCCTATTTCCATACCCAGAGCCCTGAATTTAAACCCCTGGGGCCAAATGTAGTGTTGGAGCTGTTCTTCCCCCTGAGTAGCCAAGCTAAAATTGGCATTAATGTAGGAGCTTGCTGGAAGTAATGAACTTACCAATTAGAAAAGGTTTTTTTCTTTTTTCCCATGTGATCTCTTTTACCATTTAATTAAGATTAATTAAAAAGCTTTTGTGTCTTTGTGTAAATCTCTCCATTGAAAATGGAGGTTGGGGATGAGCAGACTATAGCAAATCATTACATGCTCCATCCTAAAACAAAGCACCAGCTAATCTTGTGTAACAGGGATAATTAGGGAACTACAGGCACTGTCCTGTCAGTTTTTATTAGGAATTCAGCATTTTTCAGTTCTTCTGCTGGTATGAACTGGAGTGAACTAAGTTTCATAACACCAGGTTGGGAACAAGTGAAGAGGTTAATGGAGAATAGGCACTATCTTTTCATTTTAGGATGTCACTGCCCCCACAGTCCATGCTGCCCTTTCCTGGCAGAAGGGAATGCTGTGCAGCCAGCACCAGGCTGGCTTTAAACACCCTCCAAGGTAGGTCCAGCTGGCACCCAGCACGTTCAGGATCAAAGCCTGGCTCTGGAGTTAGGCCTGGCTTGAGTTGGCAGGTGGAGATTTTACTGCTGGAGTTTGAGAGTCCTGTCTCAAACACAGCACAGGACCTTGAGGGGTGTTTTAAAACAGGAACTGTTTAAACCCTGTGCAAAGGCACCATCAGGGAGCCCCATTTCTTCTGTTTGTCACTGGTGTGTGCTGGGGGTTTGCTGCAATCCAGACCCCAAGGCTCAGGTGCTTGAGGCTGTAAAATGTGGGAGAAGTAGCTGTGAATAACAAACTGCCCTGAGGTGAGTGGTGCTCCATCCTGAATGCATTGGTTTTCTCTTGCAGGAGGGTCCCCCTCATAAATGTGCCTTAATTTTCGCAGATAACAGTGGGATAGACATAATTTTAGGAGTCTTTCCTTTTGTCCGAGAGCTCCTTTCTAGAGGGACAGAGGTGAGTGCTTCTCCTTGCCAATTCCTCTGGACTTTTGGTAACTGCTGGCAGGTGTCACTGCCCACCAGCAGGACACTCCTCTGCCAAACTGGGAATGATCCAAGCACCTGGAATGCCACAGCCTGACTGTGTCACCTCCCCCAGGTGATTCTGGCCTGTAACTCTGGCCCTGCCCTCAACGACGTCACCTACAGCGAGTCCCTGATCGTGACCGAGCGCATCGCGGCCATGGACCCCGTGATCCAGTAAGCAGCACCCCTGTCCCTGTCACCCTCCCTGGGCACAGCCCAGCCTGGCTTTGCATTTCTCTGTTCATCTCTAACTCCAGCCTCAGCCCAAGGCAGAGCTTTTGCTTTCGTTAAAGTGAAAAATTTAGAAATTGGGTCTTTCTGGCGCACCCGTAGTTACATTTCTTGTTGTGTCTTCCCCTGACAAGCACTCCAGCTGCTCTACCAGGAATTTTCTGTGTTAATAGAGGCAAATCCATGTTTGTCACACACAGAGTGTCCCCAGGAGAGGATGGTCAAGGAAACATTGTGTTTCCTGGTGAGGTCACTGCAGCAAAGGAAGCCTTTATAAAAGAGGGTTTGATATTCCTGCTTCTCTGGCTTATTCCCAGATGTGCAAGGCTCTGCTGAAGCAGCTGTTTAATATTTTTGTCTTTTTAAACAGCTCTGCACTGAGGGATGAGAAGCTGCTGTTGGTTCAGACGGGCTCCAGTTCTCCGTGCCTGGATCTGAGGTAAGTGGGCCAAGCCCCACTGTGTGATTGGTGTCCCTCAGCTGCAGGATGGTCAGAGGTTTGGCTGTGGAGCATCCCAGGCACCCTTCCCACTGGGAATCACTTCTGCACACCCATCAGGAGGTGCTTAGTGTGGGTTTACAGAGCCCTGACACTGCTCAGGCCTTACAGCCCTTGGTGAGGTGTCTGTTCAGGACACAGCTGGCTCGGGAGCTCTGGTTATGGCTGGTGCCAGATACTGCAGGTGGCCAAAACCCCCTGGGACAGAAGCACCATTTCACCCTGTTTAACCTTTTCTGATCAGTTCCTCTATCCAGAATCCAAAATCCCAACTTGGGCGCATCTAAACAACATTTCAGTCAATCCCCTTGGCTTTCAGGTGCCGCTGCTTGTGGGCACCAGAAACTCCATGCAGAATCCCAGCTCGGGGCAGCTCTGGGGTGCAGCTGCAGGTGTGGCTGTGGTGTGGCTGCAGGTGGAGCCAAAGTGTGGTTGTGGTGGTGGCTGAGAGGTGGCCACAGTGTGGCCATGGTGTGGCTGTAGGTTGAGCTAAGGTGTGGCCATAGTGGGGCTGCAGATGGAGCTGGAGTGTGACCAAAGTGTGGCTGCAGTGGTGGCTGAGGTGTGACCAAAGTGTGACTGCAGTGGTGGCCAAGGGGTGGCTGCAGATGGAGGAGCTAAGATGTGGCTGAGATGTGACTCAAGTGCGGCCGCAGTGGTGGCCATGATGTGGCTGCAGTGGTGGCCATGGTGTGGCTGCAGATGGAGCTGAGGTGTGGCTGAGCTGTGGCTGCAGGTGGAGCTGAGGTGTGGCTGCAGATAGAGCAAAAGTGTGGCTGCAGGTGTGGCCATGGTGTGGCTGCAGATAGAGCAAAAGTGTGGCCGCAGTGGTGGCCATGGTGTGGCTGTAGTTGAAGCTAAGGTGTGGCTGCAGTGGTGGCCAAGGGATGGCCACAGTGTGGCCGTGGTGTGGCTGCAGATGGAGCT